TTTCGGAGGTTAAGCAAGATCTATTACATCTTCTTCGCAAGGAGAAACTCAACTTGGATCTTCTATTCTGCGGTTACATAAACAATGGGGCCTGTTCATATCCAGATCACTTTCCCCCCTGGAGCAGAGAACATACCTTCAATAGCTCTAAATGACATCTTAAATCTTTAATCTTTAATTCTACACCTCTCCTCTACTCCCTTTGCTCGGCCAGTCATCAGGTCATCTTACTGCTCTCAATATCCAGCCTATACTAAAGGGATCTCTGACAATAACCACCTCCCACCTAAAAGGATTTAAAAATCGTGCATCATCCTTGCTGTGATGTGGAGGTACCCTCCCACGGGGTGCTTCCTTTCTGCTGGTCTTCTCCTTGTGGAAGAGAGATCTCCAACCTGTGGCCTGACCCTCTCCCCCCCCTTTCCCCCTCTCCCCCCTGGTTCTGATAGTTTGTAGTATGGTTTGAATGATGGTACATTGATGCCAACTGGACTCTGAAATACCAACTCCCACCTAAAGGATTACAAATAGTGCATATCCTGCTGTGATGTGGAGGTACCCTCCCACGGGGTGCTTCCTTCTGCTGGTCTTCTCCTTGTGGAAGAGAGATCTCCAACCTGGGCCTGACCCTCCCCCCCCCTTTCCCCCCTCTCCCCCCTGGTTCTGATAGTTTGTAGTATGGTTTGAACTGGTACATCTGATCTACTCAAGTGTATTTTGAGTCATGCCCTTTGCTTTACTGCAGTAATGGTCATTTGAGCTCCGGTTGTTATTTCCCAGATAAGCTAAAAAAGGGAAGGGTAGGTTTCACATGTCTTCATCTTGATCTAAGTTTACCCTTGCCAATACAGTAAATGGCATGTATTTCATACTGGATTTGAACACTCCCCTCCCTGTTTAACAGATGTGTTTTAGTTTTTTTATTTATCCAGTCCTCCCCTTTATGTTTTTCTTATTAAGAAACCTGCCATATGTCCATTACCATTATGTATGATTGATCTATCTTTGTTGATCAGTGTGCCACCTTTGCTTTTATGCATGCTGTTGCTGTTTTTGTAAGCATTTTGAAAGTTCAATAAAAATATTATTGAAAAAAAAAAGTATGCTTTCATTGTGTCCTAAAGTATCAGTGTAAGGTAAAACATTCAGCAAGTGTATATAGAATATGGCACGTGTCAGATATCAAAGTAAGCCAAAATGGATTTATTTTCCAGGGGCCCAGTAAGTATGAAGGAGCAACACTAAGATGGATAATCAAGAGGCCTCATGGCTTGTACACAGATTAAGTAACAAACAAAGGGTTGACTCAGTACCCAGTGCAAAATAAGGAGTGATATGTACTTGAGCAACAAGAGTAAAAAGTTATAGTAGGATGTCACATTCTCCATCAATCCCAGCTCTGTTGATAACCTGACAAAGGCAAATTTGGTAGTCACAGCAGGGACTTCCTCAATAGGAAATCTATTAACAGTATAACAAAAGACATTGTTATAATTCCCCACAGCTAGTACCAGAACACCTGTTCAAGTTCCTTCCAAACCTCTTCAGTATATAGTCTTGGCATATAAATATTTGCAAAATCTACACTATACCATGTAGCATACACAGCAGAAGGATAAATCTGCCTTGCAGGTCCACAGAGTTTGCTTGCAGGAGAGCATGGTAGAGGTATAAATTGGTGCACTGACTTCCCTACCATAGGAAGACTATACAGAATGGTAAAGACTAGTTTACAATTTTTGGATTTACGTAGGTTATTTGTTTTATCTGCCTTCAGCAAGAAAATGACTAATGGGTTGTAACTTGAAAAAATAGTAAATATTGCTTGTCTTTTTGTAGAATCCTTCAGTACCTTGACATTCCTGGATACTAGTACTAATAACTTTATACTTTTTGTTTATTTAGTTTAGATACATAGCTGAGCCTTTTCATTTTGAACCTGAGTCAAAACCTTGGTGGATTCTCTGAGCTTCCTCTCCTTTTCTTTGTGTATTGGAGTGGTACTTCAGGGATTTTTCCATCCATGCTTCTGTATAGGACATAAGCCTTAGGTTTGTTTATAGCCTTTGTTATGCTTATGAGGAGCTCATTCTCCTTATGTGTTGTACCATACTATGCCTTAGGACTGGAATACAGAATGCTATACTTGAATATGTCTATGTATACAGTGGCATAATTGTTCCTATTCTTTTTGCTTCTTTATTTTGTGTTGTCAGTGAAACTGAGCCTGTGGATATCAGCCCTAACATGATGCTAGCACAGTTCCACTAAAGTGGAAGCTGTATGATATAGGGTTTGTGACAGGCAACAAAAAATGCAACAGAACTCTGTTCATATTAAGTCAAACACAGTCAAGTCATAGAACAAGAAAAAGGAAGCAACACTCTTTCTACCTAGGACAGAAGCTGCATGGTTAGGCATGTATTCTTATCTCAGTGATTTAGAAGATGTCCCCCTTGCTATTGTACAGCGCTGAGCAAACCCTTTGGCGCTATATAAATACTGTAAATAATAATGTATATATATATATATATATATATATATATATATATATATATATATATATATATATATATTATTTATTTATTTAATGCTACACACAGGCCAGGCTTACTCAAATCTACTCAATGTCTCTATCTTTTTATAGTTAAAGAAGTATTAAACTTAAAAGTAAATATTATAGTGCAGCCTACCAATTCTTAGATGGGATGGTTGCATTTGTTTTCTATTTTAGGCTTTCTTTGTTCTATTTTCTGTTGATATGGCCAGTAAGTCTATTGTTTTTAGACAGAAAATCTCTTGCAGTTATAGAGATGAGACGAACTATTTACCACTGACAGGAGGGCATATAATGATCATCTTTTATTTATTCATGTAAAATCTCTAAAAGGAAAAAAACTGTATGCTGTAACTGATTATAAAGTGTTAGCTGGAGTTTGGCTTCAACTTGCTAATGTATCTAAGTCTGCTAGTAAATTTAACAATCCCATCCCCTCCCCCTAGAAATGCTGCTGTCCAAAGTTGCCCTCTATGCTCCTTCATCCAGACTAGGGGCACTCTAATACAGGTGGTGTGTTACTGGCAAGATCACCAGGTGAAAACAAGGGAAAATATTAAAAAGAAAGATGTTTCAAAATAAACATTGCTGGATTATTGCCTGGTGGTAGAGGACATAAAGGCCTGTTCCCCTGCTAAATTTTGTAAAAAACTGTCCTTACAGAAAATGTCCAGTATCCAGGATTCACTATACATGATTGGGTTCTTTCCTTCCCCCCTGTTCTTGAAGACCCAGTATAAGAATTGTATTTTTATTTTATTCTGTTTTCCAGATCTTTCAGTCAAGGGTGATAACTTTGGCTGTGGTAGTCTGCATATCTTATTTTAAGGGAACCATGTTGTTGTCACATACCTTAATAAAGAAAAAAAAACATCCAAGAGGTGCTGGGATTTGATGTGAGTTTACTCAAAGTATTGAGAGGAAAAATACATTAAAAGTACTAATTAGCTCAAGTTAGATTGCTCCCAATGGGCAGGGCAGTGGGGACCCAGCGGGTCACCAAGAAAACATGCACAAATGGAACGAGTGCCAGACCAAGTGCCAGATCAAATGATACAATTCCAAGATAATTTATTGATTTGCAAAAAAAAAAAAAATTGGTGGCCAGAGAATGCTCCCTCTTCATCAGGGTGGCAAAAAAACACAATATGATATAAATGTACAGCATAGATGAGATTGGTACAATCATGTCTGACAACATAAAAGGTCATGAGTAACATGCATATATACATATGTGTACTACATGCATATATAACATACAGTACCTGGTAAGTAGAGCTTGATGAAAAGGGGGTGGCTTCTCTTGCATCTCTCTCTCACATGGGCATGGAGTGCTTCAGTGGTCTGCTGGATGTTTATCATGGTGATTAGGAGCAACTGGTTCAGTCAGTGAAGTGTGAATTCGCTCTGAAGGATGACAGGCAGATGTGATAGCCACATATGTGCTAGCCAAACACAGGATTAGCAGATTGGTGAGCAGCTAGGTGCATAGTAAGTGGAAATGTAGGCAGGAGATAGGCAGGAGATTAGAGCTGGTTTAAGGTAGGGCAGTGCAGGCCAGCAACTGGCGGGCAGATCAGGTAGAGGTAGTAGGTGTGGGGTCAGTATTAGAAGGGTAGATCTGGAGCAAAAGGAGCATGTGGAAGTGTGGTCAAGCCAAGGTTGGCACAGGCAGATAGCAGAGGACAGGCCAAAAAAGTAAAGTTAATATCAAGAAATGCTGAACAGAGGTTAACATGTATTGCTGAAGACAAGTCCGCACTGTCCATGTGCAACTATCCAGTTTAAAAAGTCAGTAAGATAAGGGAGCTTTCCCCTGTAACATGAACTCTTTCTTGTACCAAATGTTTTATTAAATTTATTATTTACATAAGATACATTCAAGAAAAGCATCAAAAAACACAGAGAAAGCCTTGCCCTCTGGAGGAAATATTTTCCTTGAGAATCATAGAACTATCAGGTAACAACAACAAATGGCGACCAATTGGTCTAGCTTAAACAAACCATGTGGAAGAAGGGAGAAAGAAATAAGTAAGATAAAATCTAGAGAGAGCCAAGGGTTCAGGAACCCCAGACTCCCCCACTCCAGAAAAGACTGAAAAAAAAGGGAAGATAACAGAGTAAAGAAAGAAACAGACCAGCAAAATAAAAGTTCACCTGAGGGGAGAGCCAGGAGACACAACACCCATATAGGGGGATTGAAGGGGCAAATTACAACACATTAGAGATTAGTGAGCTTCATGGTGAAGCGGGAAACTGGGTGGTAGTCCACCCAAGGTTGCCAAACTGAGAGACACCTATCATGATTATCTTCCAATACCACCATCAATTTTTAATTAACCACCTCCCGCCCACCATATAGTAATATGACGGACGCAAGGTGGTTCTCTCATTCTGGGAGGACGTCATATGACGTCCTCCCATTCTCACCGTGAATGCGCAGCTCAGGGAGCGCGCAGCGGGTCGATCGACAGTGCGCTGTGTCCCTCGGACACAGCGGATCACCGATCACGGAAAGAGCCGAAGATGTCTGCTCGGTCATGTGATCAGCTGTGTCCAATCACAGCTGATCACATGTAAACAGGGAAATGCCGGTTATCAGCATTTCTCTCCTCTTGAGCTGTCATGCTGACAGCTCGTGAGGAGAGGGGAGCCGGTAATCCGCGGAGGGGATATCTACACTGATCATCAGGGCACTGATGATCAGTGTGCCCTGATGATTAGTGTAGCCAAAGCAGTGCCACCTGTCAGTGTCCATCAGTGCCTTGTGTCAGTGCTCATCAGTGCCTCGTGCCAGTGCCCATCAGTGCCACATCAATGCCACATATCTGTGCCTACCAGTGCACATCAATGCCACATATCAGTGCCCATCTGAGCTGCCTTTCAGTGTCACCCATCAGTGTCTGTCCAGTGCCACCTATCAGTGCTGCCAATCAGTGCCACCTATCAGTGCCAGTCAGTGCCGCCTATCAGTGCCAGTCAGTGCTGCCTATCAGTGTGCATCAGTGCTGCCTGTCAGTGCCGCCTATCAGTGCCAGTCAGTGCCGCCTAACAATGCCAGTCAGTGCCACCTATCAGTGCCAGTCAATGCCACCTATCAGTGCCAGTCAGTTCCGCCTTTCAGTGCTGCCTATCAGTGCTATATATCAGTGCCATGCATCAGTGATGCCTTTCAGTGCCCATCATTAATGCCTGTTAATGCCCATCAGTGCCACCTACCAGTGCCTCCTCATCAGTGCCCATCAGTGCCACCTATCAGTGTCCATCAGTGCAGCCTATCAGTGCCCATCACTGCAGCCTCATTAGCGCATATCAGTGAAGGAGAAAAATCACTTATTTACAAAATTTTATAACAAAAACGAAGAAAAAAAACTTTTTTTTTTTAAAATTTTCAGTGGTTTTTGGTTTGTTTAAGAAAAAATAAAAATTCCAGAGTTGATTAAATACCACCAAAATAAAGCTCTATCTGTCACAAAAAAAATTGATAAAAATTTCATATGGGTACAGTGTTGCAATGGAAATTGGTCTGGGCAGGAAGGGGGTATAAGTGCCCTGTAGGCTAGCGGTTAATAAAGAAGCCTTGGATCCTAGACCACTATGGATAAAAGCGCAGAGATGTGTCCCAAAGGAAAAAAGTGAATAGTGTCAACTGTCAGTGGTAAAAACTCACTGCTGCCATGGTAAAAACACATAGGTTTGTGAAGAGTATAGACAGGAGCCAGGTACTGTGTAGTTTTGTGGTCATATAAAACACCTTATGTGGAGGTGTGCCTTTAATAACAATTCACAGGATAATAGAATAGAACACCAGCCTGTGGGTTTAAGAAGCCAGGTTCCAAGATGGATGGCCCGTCCACTCAGAGGGGAGCAGTGGAAAAGTTTAATGCCTGTCAGTGCAGGGACCATGTGCACCCGATGTCCCGGGTGATGTCACCGCAATGTTGAAGGAGACGGAGGGGAGGATCCCACATTGGAGCCCTGAAAAAGCGCATGAGCATGAAACATGTTGTCCCGGCCTCCTCCTCCTAAACTGCAACTCCATCGTGGGTTCCTCCCCTCCGTCTCCTTCAACATCGCAGTGTCGTCACCCGGGACGCCAGGACGTTGGGTACACACGGTCCCTGCACTGACAGGCATTCGACCCCATGATAGCGGACCGTAGCGGACAGAATACTATAAAGTCTATAAATCCACTGAAGAAAATCATCTCCTACACCCCATCTCTGCAAAGGCCCTCTGCAAATAAGTCCAAGAAAGAGTGTCAAAGGCTGTAGTCATGTCCAATGACAAAAACATAAGATCACGGGAGAGCATTCGAGCAAAGTGACTGACTAAAACAGAGCGCTGGATATTATCAGCTGCCTGGCGTCAAGGCACAAAATCTACTTGATCTTTATTGATTAAGGCAGGGATTAACGCATTGTGTGAACTCTTTCTTACAAAGTGGAGCCTGTTTGCGTTTAGTAAATGTACCCCTATTTCTGCTATCTAGTGCTACAATCTGCCATTGCCTCATTCTTGGAATCAGTGCTAGGTCCAGGGCATATGTGGCACTTTAGGGATTTAGGCAATGACAGCAGCCAGCACTGCAAAGTCAGGTACCTCTTGTCTTTATGGATAACCTATGGTTGTGCCATGGGATAATTGATTTCGTAGAATGGATGGACACTATGCACCGGGCTTTCACATTTTTCTGAATTAAAGCTAAGACATGTCCAATCTCTCCCATCCCCAAGGCTTAAAAGTATAATGTCACAACCTGTATGACATAAAAAGTATTGATAAAAAATACATTATTAGTAACAGCCTGACATAATGATGAAGAATATTACAGAATAAAGGTGCACGGTCTTAAATGGAAGGAGATATGTATTGTGGTCCCTGATCTATCTGACTGCAGTATCTGGCAGAACTGTGTACAGTAACTATCAGAAATGGCTGGAAAAATTAACTTCTTTGGCTAGTAAAACAACCCCCCCCATTTTCCATAGTAATTCAATTATGTATTTAGCTTCTTGCCTGGAATTCAGCTTTAAACATCTTTCCATTTTGAATGGATTGCTGTTTGGTTTGTATGCACAAAATGAAACAACTCATAGTTTCTGAATCAAAATGTATAAATCATGTGAAAACATCTTGTGAAAGAGGAAAACAAGCCTAGCAATACTATGGTATATTTATAGAGCACAATTAAACTCGCCATCTACCATGTTCTGCATATTAATTAAACATAACAATGAAAACGATAAACTGGCACAACTGACAGTTAAGTGGTTTTTTTACAAAAGGTAGTTCAAAATATACTTACTGAATGTAGACAATGCCTTGAAATTTCTAAAGAATACAATTTGTGAGAAATGACAGCAGTCTGATACAGTCAGTATTATAAATGCAATACCCAGGCAAAAGAAAAAAAACCCCGAAAAAGCTAAAAACAAAGTTGCTAAGCCAGCTCATCCATAATTGATGAACAAAGGGTGGTATATTAAGTTATAATATGTGTTAATGGGATTATCCAGTTAAAGAAAAATCCCAGCTGTTTTAGGTTTAACCCCTCTCTCCTGTTGCCCCGTCAGATCTTCATCTTCAACTCCATTTCACATTGCTTGGTAAGCTTAAGTGTGCTCTGTCACAGTTAACAGCTTTTATAAAGTGCTAGGGTAGCTGAATGGCAGGCCAAAGTAGCATATTTTACCTGTTAGAACACTGCAGGAGCATGCAGGGCATTGTTCAGAGGTAGGTGCTCTAATAAAAGTTTCCAACTGTCTCTTCAAAATAAGGTCTATATGCCATAGCTCTGCACAAGAAAACTTAAAAAAAATATTTGTAGCTGTGAATTTAGCCCAAGTAAAATGCCAATTAGTGAGGATCAGGTGTAGAAGTGCCAGCAAGGATTGAAGAGGTTGTAACCATGTATCACTGTACCTGCAATCAATTAGGATGATGTAACAGTATCAGCTGTGTGTCACCAGCACTGTCTGTACATCGGAGGCAGCTGGGCACTGGGGTCCTGCACATCAACAAGAAAAGCACCATCCCCCACATTAACCACTTCCCATCCACCCTACAGCAGAAATACTGCCACAGAATGGCACGGGTGCACAAAATCACGTATATATACCTGATTTTGCAGTTTTGGGTAGGGGGCGCGCGAGAGCCATTCACGGCCTCGGCTGTCAATCATTGGGTCCTGGCTGGTGATTACTCGACGGCACCCGGTGATCGTTGAGTATTACCGACAGGGGGAGAGAACTGTATGTAAACAATACAGTTATCTCCTCTGTCAGCTCCTGCACACTGTTTTGCATGGCTCTGCAGAGCCATACAAAACAGTGTGCTTAAAGTGAAGCACACACACAGCACATAATGCGAAACAGCACACAGTTAACCCTTTGATCACCCCAGATGTTAACCCCTTCCTGCCCAGTGCCATTAGTACAGTATCAGTGCTTTTTATTAGCATTGATCACTGTATTGGTGTCACGGGGGAAGTCCGTGACACCAAGTCAGTTCCCCCCAGTGTCAGAATGCCCGCCGCAGTCCTGCTATAAGTTACTGATCACTGCCATTACTAGTGAAAAAAAAAATTCCACTATATATATACCGCTATTTGTCAATGCTAGAACTTTCACGTAAACCAATTAATTTGCACCTATTGGGATTTTTTTTTTTAGCAAAGACATGTAGCAGAATACATTTTGGCCTAAATTTATGATGAAATTAGATTTTTTTAATTTTTTTACTGGACATGTTTAATAGCAAAAAGTTAAAAATATTTCTCAAAATTGTCGGCCTCTTATTTTATAGCTCAAAAAAAAGCACAGGCTATCAAATACCACTGAAAGAAAGTTCTATTTGTTGGAAAAAAAGGATGTAAATTTAATTTGGGTGCAGAGTTGCATGACCGCGCAGTTGTTAGTTAAAATAGCACAGCGTCGTATCTCAAAAAATGGCCTGGTCAGGAAGGGGGGTAAATCCTCAGGAGGGCAGGTATGTAAAGGCCTACAAAGCAGCCCCTTGTAGACATATTTAAACCAAACAGTACAAGCATGTACTCTTGAAGGACTACTATGGTTTTGTATAAAAAATAATAATGTAACCATCAGAAATTAATTTAAAAATGAAACAAAAGAGACATCAGCCATGTGCCTTCAATTAGCATATATTTTACAAAACCATATTAATACCATATTGTAGATGTACTTAATCCCTATTAAAACAACTGCCCCCCTCGCATTTATATGACACATTAATACATACAGGACTCACACCTAGTGTATTCAAAGAGGTAGACTAGGGGGTATGGAGGAACCTTCTCTACACCCCCTCTTCATGAAGGAAGATCCCTGTTGGATTTGGTGAAACACATTTCGGGGAAAGTGAACAATCTTTATATCTTAATCCTATGACCTCGTATTCCTCCTTTTATTAAAATATGTATATTTTAATTTTGACATATTTGGTATTTGTTTTCAAATATAATACATGCAGATATAAACTAAATCATTCAGTTTATTTTTGTAGATCAAAATTTTTATTTAGTTCGCAAACAGCTTAGCACTTAATCTAATTGCTTGCTCGCCTTTAAATTGACTAATTCAATGTCAATTATCACTTCCAGTAACAGTTGTGGTAAAGAATTCTTTGTGATATCAATCCTGTGGGATAAATTATTGAATTCTCTGAAGTTGCTAAACAGTTGTTACTTCAATATTTTTGTAAATGAGCACAAAGGTGAAGACACAAGTGTTACCGGAGGTGCTAACTAAAAAAAAAAACGTGGTTGCAAGATCATGCTACTTTTTCTTTCCTTGGTTTTCTATACCCAAGGATAAAATGTAATATATTACAGTTTATCAGTCTTTAGATGTGGTGGCTGCATTAGTTTTTTTTCCTTTGTTTACTTTTTGATCCTGTCACACCTCCTGTTGAGAGTCACCCAAGGCTGCTCTGAATTTGGAT